ATGAGTTGTAATTCTTATGGTTTTAGACAAGTTTCATATAATTACATATGTATTACATATATTTACATGTGTGTTTGTTAGTCCGTGGTCCTGTACACAGGGCTCAGGGCTGACAGATACAATACCATGGCCATCCAGTTGGAATAAGAGTTCTGTCTACAGCCTGGGTTGCATGGATTGTGTAATTAGCGCTGGCAATATGGTCCCCAACTGCCTTGATGATCTTTGATAGATCCAGCCAAACACAAGAAATTTATACATATTTTTTGGTAAGCCTATCAAGTATATACAGTCTGTATTCATGAAATTTGTCTTGATGACACTTCCTACATCAGCTCAATATCCTCTTAGCATATTGGCATACATGCACAGAAATTTTTTGAAACAAATCTCAAAGTCTTTTGGTCTGATTTGAGCTGTGGTGTTGTGTTGAGCCCCCTTTGTGAATGTCAATTTAGTTACAGGATTTGTGGAATCCTTTGTCAGCAGCTGGGTTCAACTGAGTGTCAACATCCCAGTTGATAAGGGGACAATGCACCTGTTGTGGTACCTGTTTGAAGGGTATTTTGAGGGTCTAAGAAAAGTATTTTGTGTGTGCATGTCAACATGCTAAAAGGATACAGACACAGTGATAGGTATCATGGGCAATACCAGCTTTACAGAATGGTCCTCAAGGTCAGTCACAGATTGCACAGCAGGTTCCATCTAGTGTTCCAAATTCATAAGTTTGCAGTATGGGTTAATGAGGAGCCATTCTTGTGGCCAATGCCATGGCAGGGGGAACATGTAGAGGAGATGTGGAGAAAAAAGTACCCATACCCCTCATCATCATGAAATCACTTTTCGAGCAATGGCAAAACATGGTGGGAGAGCCTGCCTGCACACATTGAATTTTTTGTGGTGCAACTGCTCAGCCACTTAGATCCTAAAGAACCTTTAAATCTCCAACCAGTTTATCACCTCACCCATAGGCAACCTCCTTCCATCTTTTATGATTCCTCAAATCTCCCTCTGTGAGAGTCTGTGTGTTCTTGCTGATTTGAATCTTTACACTTGGTGACAAAGCTTTCACTTCTGTCTTAGGCAATTAACATTAGTGGCTTGATACACACCTCATAAATTAAATTCCTTCATTTTACAGACATAGAGAATTTTACAACAAATCTGGTCTAACACCTGAGTATCAGAGAAAGATGATACCTCTCTGAATCTACCATTGAACCAACACATCAGAATGAAGTTTAATCTTGTGTTATTATTTTTGAAAGTCTCAATCATAAAAGCAAGACCCATTGATCTGGGTGGTAATTGAAGCATTAATGTGATCTTATTGGCTTATTAATACTTTTAGTGATTTCTTTTCTTTGATGACATCATTACACTTAAATAAGTCAGAGTATATGACATCAATCTTTTACTTTGATACATAAAAGGTCTCTTGTGCTCTTTACCAACGCTGGGCCAGCAACACAGCTCTCCATAAAATGTGTATTTGCAGCTGAATTGCGCCACAACAAGCAACAAAATGTAGCAACTCATGCTGTGTTATGCACAGTACTGCAAAAACAAAAAATAAGGCTAGGTTGTGGGGAGTCTCCAACCTTGCGCAACACAACATGTGCAGCAGCACCAAAAAAATTATATCATGATTTGTCTATGGGAAGCAACACAACAAATGTTGTTGTGGCCCCCAAAAAACACAGATCCCCGCAACCTTGTTGCACGGCGTGTCAGGCCGCAGCCTAGATATCAATTCTGTGGTGTGGTGTGGTTGAAATAACCGCTGCACAACACGCGGTTGTCTTTACCATTCACCTTTTCTCTTATAAAACTTAAACATTTTGTTTTGTTACAATCTTCTTTCATCAGATTGCTCTCATCTTATTTCAATCAATGTGATGCTATCATTAAAGCTGATTGCCTAATTCTCACAGTTGATAACCATTTCAAGTGTGGGGTGGGTGCAAGAGCGCCTGCCTACTCTAAAGTCTCTGGTTGTGCTAAAGATTTCAAGAATGTGCCATATACACCAATGGGACTTTTGAAAGATTTGAAGCAGGCAAAAGAACAGACATATGCTGAAAGCTCCCAAAGATCATCACAATGGATTTGGTTTAAGTCATAGGGAAGGACCTGCAAAGCCAAAAGAGCATTATTTGGATCCAGAAGAGGTTGCTTCTAAGTTCTGTCACCAGTCAAGGTAATCCTCCAAATCCTATGGTCCTGGGTAAAACCAGAAAAAGAGAACAGCTCTCACAGTTCCTCAGGAGATGGAAATTTTATTCATCTCAGCTGAATAGGACATGTTCAAGGTAAAATTTGAAAAAGATGATCACTTTGATTTACTAAGAATTCTGAAGTGATTTGATTCACAGTCAGCAAAGTCCTTTCAAGATTCAAGCACAGGGATGATGATCCTGCACAAAATGTCAGAGATGGTCAGTGTGTTCCTGAGATAATTGAATACAAAAGGATGCAAACAACTGAGCTCAACATACAATGTGTGTACAGAATGGTCAACGGTGCCAAAGAAGATACGTATATGTAGATTTTTTGAAGGTCAGAACGGATGTATAACAGCCCACACAGGAACAGGAAGAACCACAACAAACTGTTGGGATAGTCCTGCATGACTTTTAATTCTTTATGTAAAAGTTCTGGAGAACATATTGACTGATCATCAACAACCATACACATTTTTGTAGGTGGCCCTCATGTGATAGTCTAGGAAAATGGGGCTGGGTCTTCTCACCATAGTAAGCTTTCTTATCTTCATCTCATTTCTAAAGGTGTAAAAGTGGCATCAAAGCTGATCCACTCCATATAGGCAGAACAAGTTCCTCTTCTGCTTCATATGATTCAGAAAATGGCTTTCAAGGATGTATGGGAAAATTGTGCTCAGCGCCTGAAGAGCCTGCCACACCAAAATTTTGGAATGATGACTCAGACTCAGGGTTATATAGTGGTTTGTGGGGTTTCCTTGGCTGTTTCTGTGAAGAGTGCTCTGCTGACTGTGGCGCTTTTGATGATCATTGATGATTTGAGCCTCAGGGGGAGAAATCTTTGTCCAACATATCTCCACCCAATGTTTGAGTGAATATGGTGTTGCATTGGTGTTTGTGAATATTTGTCACACATTTGTCTTTGACAATCAGAAAAAACTGTTGATCCGCTGAAGTTCGCAATTACAACTATCAAAAAATTTCAACTTTGCCATGTTTGAGTGGCACACAAATCCTTCTCGATGATGTTGATTTGAAAGAGCTTTGCAGTTTCGAAGTCTTTAAGTTTGAGTCCCTCCTAAACAATTTTTTTGATTATCTCAATCAGTTACCATGCCTAATTAGATACACTCTCAACCCTGGACATCTTTGCCTCATGAAAAGCAATCATTCTTGACCTCCTTGCACTTTTTTCTTGCTCCTTGAAAGACTCCTATCTTAACAATCAAAAGACACTTGAATCAATTTTTCTGCCACCTTGTTATCAGGCATGTGACCAAAGTGGGCAGATTTTGAGTCACATTGCTCAGCAGGAACATGCCAGGGTCCCAACTTAAGACAATGTGACATTCATGTCGTGCAAAGCCTTTCAGCTTGTGGTTTAACTTCTCTCCTGCTTTCGTGTATGGAGTTCTCAACTTGGAGCCTCCTACACCACCCGATTTTCTTATTAACATCAAGAAATATTGGGCAAAACACTACAGATCAATCACGCATTTGTTGCGTGGCCTCTCCCTTGGACTGTTGAACAGCTTGTCTCCTGACTCATTTGAAGTCAAGTGGGACGATGCTTAGGAGAAATCTCTTTGGGAAATGACCAACCAACAGTCTCCTGTGAATGACAACGCTTGAAGAAGCCTAAAATGATCTTCCTCACACACAGTCCTGAATAGACAAACTTGTGGATAGCTTTACCCTTCCATTCATTCTTGCGTACAACCGGTGGGATATTGTTATGACGTTAATGCTGATTGCCCCAACGAAAAGTACTCTGGTGGCAGAATTTGGTACAAAGTGATTTGAGTAAGATGGTACCAGGTGAGTAAGATGTTGAAACTCGAATCAGGGGCTCAGAAGTTGATATTGGATCAGTTCCGGGTTGTATAGTGTCCTGTACCTTTTGAGTATTAATATGATGACGATAGTTACGATTCAGAGTTTTTGTAATTTGTGTTCAAACAAAGGAACTCATTTTGCTTTGGTTAATATCTCAAAATTTACATTACATCGAGCTTACAATCGATTCGATCACTTTCTGGTCTCACATTTACTTTGACGTTGGATATACTTATGCAGGAAGATGAATGAAGGAGTCACCTTATCGAGCGTCCTTCTGGTTCAGTTTGCTGTCGTATGGTTTTTTTCGAGGACATGGACTCCACTCGCTTCACTGCTATCGATCGAACTCAGGTTTCTCGCCTACAGCTTCTTAAGGTGGATCCCTGGTCGTCATGGGCCTGCCTGTGCTCCTCTCCTCTTCGCACTTTGGCTGGTGTCTTGGCGGATGGTCAACCGTAATCTTCGGAAGCATCAGGCCACGACCCTCAATAATCAGACAGACATCAAGAAACAGACTATCAAACCATCTAGCCCAACATCATCAAAATCCATTTTGGCCCCCAATGAAAATCAGATCAATGATCCTCCAAAGACTGCCTCTGACTCAGGGACCATCGGGTCTACTCAAACTCAACTCTCGACCGATCAAAGCAGCCTGTGTTCCAAGCTTCCCTTACCGACCGAATCGCCTGATCGGCCAGCTCACTCATCCTCCGCTCAAAGCTCAACGCAAGAAAGCAAAATTACAGAGTTGAGCGTGGCATCATCCGAATGCGATCGATTAGATGAAATAAAAGAAGAAGCCGATGGAGAAGCAGAAGGGCCGTGCGAATCCACACCTCTACTCACCAAAGCTCAGCTGTCGCCTCCTACAACTACAAAGCCCATTCCTCAATCAAGTAAACCAGTTCGGCTCTTCAAGTCCATTCTTGGGATCTCGACAGATTCTCTTGGCTTTAATCGATTCATCTTACTAGTCAACTTGCTCTTGACAGCGTTTTGCATGGATGCGAGCTTTAGAACTCATTTTTTCAATGGTGAAGAAGATTTGGCATTTGTGAGAGTAGGAGCAGTAGGTGAAAATTGGGCCAAGATCCATGCTCGAATTCCACCTCGTGGTCAAACAGGTTCAGAACTATTTGATTCCGATGTAGTCTCAGTGGGTGCGATCGTGATCTATCGACCAATGAAACCTGTTGGGGATTGGATAGTAGGCCCCAAATTGTTTACATCTAATGAAACTGACTGGAATTCAATAGTTAAGATTGACGACCTATGGCCTGGTACATTCTATGAATGTGAGTAAGGCTTGTATCACTCTCAGCTCGCTTTTGAAGCTAAGTGGCTCAACCTTGACCGTACAAATTAGATCGGTTGACATCCCTGACATCCCCCAACACGCATCATGATCGGTTCCCTGCCGTGGGGCGTTTTAGGACGGTTCCCGATCCGCGCCTTGCGTCTAATGCGGTTGATGGAGGAGTTTTTTCCTTTGCGTACACAAGCTGTATCAAACGTACGTGATTCTGACGAGCATCTTCGTACGCCCAGATCAACTAATAGGACTATTTGACACTCTTTCACATTGTGCAGCTGGTTTTCCTTACAACCCTCTCAAATCACCCCTTCATAATGAGGGAGCAGAGCAGCTAGCCGAAATTGCTCATGAGCGACATTTGGACTTTGTATTGTTCCTTGGTGATTTTATCTACGCCGACTCGCCTTTCTATGCTGGAAATCGAGTACAAGATTATTGGAGAAAGTACCGACAATCTTACGCAAGTCCAGGATGGAGAAAGGTAAGATATCCACCGATACTTGAATCTTTGATCCCTCTACCGCAATCTAAAGGGATTGACATGGTGAAATTGTTCACAGTTAATGCAGTCCATCAGGACTATTCATATCTATGATGACCATGAGGTGAGTCCATTTCGGACAACATTGTCTATCAACCTAGAAGTTGGCTGAGTTTTTATACTTTTGAAGATCTACAACGACTGGGCAGGTCAGGACAACGACGCGGACCCAACCTTCCAACCAGCAAACCAAGCATACAAGCATTATCTCGGCGATGCTAACTATGATGGGCCTGGAAAGGGCGAGAACTATTACTGGTTTCGACATGGCGACGCGGCATTCTTCGTATGGGACTGCCGTCGCTATCGAAGTCCAAACCACCAATTTGATGATGCGGAGAAGACGATGTTGGGTCCTACTCAGAAACAAGTTTATCTTGATTGGCTAGGAGCTGTCAACGCGACTGTCACTTTTAAATTTGTGATTTCATCGACTCCTTTCATGACCCTTTGGAGCGGTCCAGATGGAGCGGTCGATACGTGGGCTGGCTTTACAACCGAACGCTCTGAGCTGATGGATGTAATGCAGAATATCCCGAACTTGATAGTCCTCTCAGGTGTAAGATACCTTTAATCTTGATGATTCAAAAACCCGTGCTGACAAATGCTTTCTCGATGTGCAGGACCGGCACGAATTCGCTGCTGCCACGATCCGTGAGACTGTGATGGAATTTTCGACTTCACCACTAAACCAGTTTTGGTTACCTATCAAAACACTCAGTCAAGAGAATGGACTTGGTCAAACTGGAGAGGACAAACTGTTGAAATACATTCCAGAGTAAGTGATCATGATGAACTCCAACTCGAATTTCGAATACTTTTGTCTAATTGACATGAGCTTTATACTTTCCAGGGGTAATCAAAAATTCTCGACAATAACGATAGATACAAGGGACTCGAAGCATCCTAAGATGAAATTTAATCTGTTCATTGACGGTACAGTCGCTTGGAAGTAAGTAGCGTGTATCAACCCCATACAAGAAACCTTTAGCTATTGTTGACTTCCTTCAATTTTCTTTCAGTTTAACGTACGAAGCAAAGCCAGTAACGGAACCACCAAAGCAACTAGGTGAACTGTTTCCTAGCTGGGAACATTTTATGAACCTAATGCAGCCAATGAAATGGCTCAGTTTTTAGATAAAATACCATCCAGACCACTTACTTCATGGCAAAGGCTGATAAAAGAAATGCTTTGGGATCCCAAAGAAAGGATTGATCGATGTTTGACTTACTAGAAACTGTTTCGGGTAGTTTTTTCAATCTGAGAATTGTGTAATTGATTTGTTTTTATATTATATATATATTGAAGGTGTTTCAGTGGATGATGGAATGGAGGAAATTAACACAAGGGATTGAGTGGATTTTTTTTACCGATTTGTATCTCATCTGATATCCAATCATAAATGATACTTGGATTATAATTTTCTAAAAAAATATTCAATGAAAGCAGGAGCATTGGCACAAGAGACTCATACAATATTGCTTCTACAACTAAGCCCCACCTTTTGTGTACTCATCAGTGAGAAGCACAGATGAGACATAAATGACGATTATCTAAATAAACAGCGAGTCTGATGAAGAAGTGACTACCGATAGCATACACAAACAACTCGGCATCATGGCTGTGTAGTGATGGTACTATTAAACTTTATTACACATTTAATTCAGACCGCTTATCTTAATGTGATGATCCACATCAAAAAAGATCCCACGCCATTCAGAAGAAAAACGTCATTTGTCACACAAACGCGTAGTTTTTCATCACAATTGTTTTAAGAAGGCTACGGCGTTTTTTGGAACAATGTGACAGATGACCACTGGTATGTTCTGTGTGGTCGTTGTGAAGATTATACAGGTAGGAAACCAGATGTTATTCAATCTAGCACTGAGTTTTGGATTAGAAGCCTGTCCGTTAAAAGGTATGATGATACATTTTTTATTGATATCCTTTACGTGGTCTTTACTAATTTTGACACAAAGGGTTTTATGCCAAAAGATCAAAGATACGGATGCAAAATGAAAGCGCTTCTCGGGTCTTGTCATTCGGCCGGTCCAAGTCTCATATCCAACAGCGCCTAAAAATAAGCAAACAAAACGTCAGTTCAACTATATAAGTTTGCATCACCTTTGAGAACTCACTTGATCTTCCAGTCCATCAAAATAATTGTCTCCTTCTTCTTCTTCAGCTGTTGCGGATGGGCCAGGCAATCTACGTTTCTCTTCCTGGGCTTTGATCTCCTCGACACCCCAGAGTGAGATCCCATCTTGTCCAATCTCAAATGGTTGGGCCATTGATCTCAGGAAACGCTTCGAGATGACCATTGCCATATCGGTAGCTGAGTGTTGAATTGGCCACTCGTCAGCACACTTCGTACGAAACCGCGAATGCAAGTTATAGGACATTGAGGTATATTTATCATCTCACTTACACAAATTGGTAGCGGTGTCAGTGATGTACGCATTGATCCATTTCGGTAACTTGGCTCGTTTGTCAGCTTTTGCGAAACGCTGTTGTTGACCAAAGTGACAATTCAGAACTCGTTACCACTAAAAAATCCAAAAAATGTATGACTAAACAAACCTTATCAGCAAAGATCATCAGCCCATAATCCGTCTTCCCTCTCAATACTCGTCCCACACATTGAGCTGCATGTCTCATTGCATCAAATGTCAGATAATCATTCTCTCGGACTTCGATTCATGAGTAGTCAGCAAGTCATGAGAAACGGAGTCAGTCACTCAAGACAAAGCAAACGGAAAAGGATGAAAAAGATAGAAACTCACTTCGATAATTGTCTCTCAGGAATTCGAGCCGAGCTTTCAGTATTCTACTCTCAGTATATTGATATGGAATCCCAAACATGATGACTGCTCGTCCATACTATCGACAATCAAATAAACAGGAATATGAACCAGATGCGATCAAAGGGACACGCATAGCATGTATAAACAAAGGTGGCACGTACGTTATGATCGAAATCGATTCCTTCCGAGACTTTTCCTCTGGCAACCGATAACAAGACAGCACCTTTTCCATTATCGCAAGCTCTTCGATAATTCTCCAACGCGATGCTTGTCTCTACTGCATCAGGTGTCTCCACAAAAATCAATTTGTATTTCCACACTTCTTTCAGGATACCCTGTTTTGAACATGTATCACACATCAGTTCGTCTGCATTTACACAGACAATCCGGTGTTTTAGCTTACCATATCATGCCATGCTGCCACGATAGATTCCATGTAGAGATACGAAGGAAAGAACGCTACGATTCCATCTGGGACGATCTTACAATAGTCAATCAGGACTGTTCCAAAATTTCTCACCACCGAAGGATCTGAAATTTTCAATGATTAGATCACGCAAATGTGGTGTATTGTAAATCATTTCCCTTACCATTCCTGACCTCAAATCTAGATGAGATTGCGACTTGATCAGCACCTCGAGTGATGACCAATGGCAGGAAACAGTTGCGAGTCAAGGTCATGGAGTATGATTCTTGGACGGCCGATTCGAATCCGAGCATCTTGGGGTACATATCGAGTGGACTAATTGTACCGGAGGTGATCACCACACTACTGAAACGATCGAAGACGGGTTTGATCGCTAGTGAGGCGTCTAGGCAACTGCGTCCAAAATGTAGAATCGTTAGATTCCAGCAGGTGAGATCAAAATACTAAATATAGATGGATGCGAAACGCTCACGTAAGATGGAAAACCGGATTCGGTACTGTAGCATTCTCAGTCTCGAATGGCTCCAAAATTAGAAGAAAGCCTGCAGAAGAGTTCACAAATGCTGGGTGAGATTTTGACTATCCTGGTGATCGCCCTCAAAAATAATGATACATTGAATGTCGAGTGACGAAAAGATACCTTTCTCATAAGTCGCGACCAAAGTTGCAAAGCTTGCGACTTGCTGCAGACCATTGTATTGATCTAGCTGCGTTAACTCCAATGTGCGGATCAGACTTGTGAGTCTCTCGGAACAAAATCGAAGGGGCTTGCGATCAATGAACGTAAGATCTTTGAGATGCTGTAAGAACGAAAGCGGGGTTTCTGCTACGACATGTAAGACTCTCATTCGAGTCTACAACAATGGACAATTTCTCATCATAGAAATTAGAAAGACCAAAGCAGCGGTGGGCGATTTAAATAGGGACATGTACCTTCAGGTATTCCACAAAACGCGTCAAGAAGGCCGTGAAATGTTCGGCTCGCCTGATGTTTCCGGGAATTGCTTCTTGCAGTAGATCATCGGGTAAGACTGTGGCAAGGAGTGTTAGGCTTCGATAAAGTAAGTAACTACGAAACCAGTAGTGATAGATACTTACCTGGGGTTGCGATCACACCAGCCTCATCCTCAGCTTGTTCGAGTTCCGAGCCCTGTAGTCCTCGTACCAGCCTTTGGTATTCATTTTGCAGCTTGGAGGCGTCAGTACGTTTGATCTCTTGAATCTTGACCTCCAAGTTTTCGATAGCACGGCCAGCGTTATCAAGGATTGATTTGTTGAGATCGATGGATAGAGATTCGATGCAAACATTGTCGATGTTGTGAGCTTCATCGAACACGACGATAGAGTTGGGAGATATCTCTTTCGAGACTTGAGTTGCCACTTTTGGATCCAGTAGGTAGTGGAATGAATAGATCACGACATCTGCGTAGGCTAGCTAAGTAGAGAGAAATAAAAAAGTGAGACCAAGTAAGCAAATCGATGAATTGGAGTCGTGATTGGACTATACAAGGTGTAACTTACCATCCTTCTGACAGCGAAATAAGGACAGATTCCTTGCTGATGACCATAGTTGGTGATCTCCTCCAAAGTCCATACACCTCGTGGAATCAAGTCGCCAGCTTCGAGTTCTCCGAGTTTCTAAATAGTTACCAGGCCGAACGAGATAGTTAAAACGGGAATCAAATCAATTCTCTCTCCAAATTTCACTCACTTCATGAAACTCACAGAGAGGCACACTTCCAGGGTTGGCTCGGCCTTGTTCGCAGGCCCAGGCAGAAGTTAGGTCGCGACATCGAGCATCGACCACTTTTCCTTTCTTCTCTCTCGACACCTGATGGATGTTTCAAGTCACAACGGAGCAAAAATAGATATCAAAGCCGGTTGACGCGCGACTTTTGAGATAAGCGTCAATTTGATGAAGGTAGAAAGGAGAATGCAATATAATAAACCGGCCCCTGTCGGAGTGGTCGGGCGAGTGACTGACATCTGGATGTATACATAAGTTTTTCCGACTGGTGAGCCCAATCCCAAGGAAATCCTCATCTTCTATTGGACCAGCATTTGTGAGTTCAGCTCGTAATCGCAGTTGAGACGCGCGATAAGCCATCAATCGTTTAAGTTCGATCAAAGCTTTCTCGATTTCGGGCACGGTTCGGGAACAATACACTAATTTCCGTTTTTCGGGGTGATTTTGTTGATATGCCACGATGAGGGAGAGAAGTGATATCGTTTTTCCAGTTCCGGATGGCATCTCTAGCACACAATGACCACCGACGTCTAGGGTGCGTTTGAGATCGGACATCTGTTCTGAGAAGATCGTTAGACTTTGCCGAAAATCAACGGAGTTGGGCAGCCACATACATAAGCATATTGCTCTACGAAATAACGAGGGCAAAGAGTGTTAGCGATACGAGAAGGGTCAATTGAAAAGGATATTAAACCATGCATACCTGGATAAATTTTGTCATAAGGAAATATAATCTGTTGTAGACCAAAGGTGAGTGAGTCAGTTGGGAATTCGATATGCTTGATTTGAAAAGTTGAATGACTTACTTCAAGGTCATCGATGTTGAAAATCATCTTGGATGGAGCTCAGACGATGGCTTCAGATGAAGGTGAGAAACCGATTGGCCAGGGGAGGTACATTGGAAAAGAGCCGCTTTACACACACCACGCGCATATATCAACGGCATGTAAGACCTCTCATATACCATACATGAAAACCATGATGCTCTCTATAACATCCACTGTCTCGGTATGTATTTATGTAGGCTCTCTGCAGGACAGCTCCGTAAAACAGCCACACAGAATATGAGACCTCGCCTTTAGTCTCTCTGACCCACTCATCTCAAAAGGGCTCCAATATATCCGGTCTTGACGGGCCAGCCCCGCTCTTTCTGGCTCATGGCGACCAACAAATCCTCTGAGTCTCACGAAATCTGCGATTCAATCGTCTCTGTTGCTAGATATTTGTTTTCATATTCGAGAGAAAAATATCTCAAACTACATTACTGGAGATCGAAATGCAATCAAAAATGAAACGGGATACGCAATCTCACCTGTGAGATGCTTGTCTAGTCACAAAATCAACCCGACGCTTTAAAAAACTCTCGACAGCCATAAGTACGTGAAATTTAGCCTAATACTAGCTCATTTTGATGACAGGAAATTTGGAGTAGATCCCGTGAAGAACTGACCTGATGGCCGTCTGTCCAATAGGGTCTGACATGGCCTAAAAGTGTAAACATCATTTCGGCGAATTCACGCAAATTCCCCGTGGATCACGAACACAAGAGAAATCATACCGCTACTCGCGTGAGTTTGGAGCAGGGAATATGATAACCGTCACTTGCACCAGCCTTCGCGCTATGATGTAAACAATTAAAATCGTGCTCGGTCCCTAGCTTATACGTGGATCCGTAATCCGTCTCTCAAATGTGTTCAGAACCTCACAGATTACTCAATAAGAAAGCAGGAAAATCGTTCAGGACGTCAATGATGGGGACTAATTCGGAGTTGATGATCTTTGGGAAAGAATTGCGCGTTTGTGGTCCGACAAATACAGGGAGTCGAAAGAGATACCTTAGTTCGCCGTCTATTGCGTTGACGAAACGCTGGTCGGTCTTTCAGGCAGAGAGGATTACTCATCTATAGAGATTGAACTCCAGTTTGAACTGCCTGAAACTTTGAAGTAACGGCTTTACTGCAGGTGTTGTATGATACACTTCTTAATCGGGTGTGGTTCGCCTTGAGCTAGCTTTCGGCGGATTCTGAGTATGATGAGGCCATTTCAACGCGCATCAGATGCGAGAACAACGAGTGCTATTCGGGAATACTTTTGTTATACGAGTGATCCTGGAGTCGAGAAGGAAAGATCCACAAGGTATATTTGAGTAAACTCGCGGTGGACTCATTGAGGTCGTCTAGAGCGGGAATAATTGTAGTCATCGTGAGCTGCAGATTTTTCTATATAAATCATCGTGCCATAGTTGAGGTTCACTCTCCATCAAACATCCCCATCTTGTTGATTGATAGGATCAAAAAATCTTCCTCAACTTTATATTTTATTTTTGTTGATTTAATCGGAAATGTTGCTGAGTAGTTTAGTGTCGGCGCTTGCACTAAATGGTAGGATTTCTTCACATTGCTAAATAATCTAAATTCCTTGCTACCCAGATTTATGCTTGCTCACAAGCTTTTTGGTCTTGTCGTTTCAGCTTGCTTTGTCAGGGGTGCCGTTCATCCCTCCTCGTTTGGTAACCTTCCCCACAACTCCTTTGGCGCAAGGGGATCTATTGGAGCAAGTTTATCAACTCAATTCGACTCTTCTGTTGGTACCATTGACCGCTACCAACCGACTTTTACGCAAGCGTGCCAACAAAAGAAGCCCGATGTCTTGATTCAAGGCTTGGGTGATATCAAAGCTTCAATATCCGTCCTAGGATCAGCTGACGGACTTGCTCAAGTTGATGTCAATGTAGGTTGATGTTTGACTGAAACTTTTAAAGTGAAGTAGACTCTCTGATAGAATCTTACTTCTGTCCATGTTTAGACCTTGACGACCAAAGTTCTCAACTTGATGGTCAAACTTCAAGTGGTATTAAAAGTTATTGATCAATACAAGATGACATCCTCTTGTTCGAGTAAGTCCTATACTCGCTACAGCCTTGGATATATGGAGAGTCTCATTAATCACATTTTTTGTTTGTTTTGTACAGGTGCCATCGTTGACTTGAAGGGTTCTTTACAAATCATGATATCTGCTGTTGCTTCGCAAAACACGGATATCACTACTCAGTGTAAGAGTGCCGGTGTGGACTTGGACTTCTACGCCCGTGTTGGAATTAAACTCGATCTCGGCGCTCAAGTTGCTGCTGTTGCAGGTGCTGGTGCTGGTGCAGGTGCTGGTGCCGCTGCTGGTGCTGGAGTTAATGTCGACGCCTCAACCAAAGTGGTTGCTGACCTCCAAGCTGCGGTCAGCGTCACGGCTGACATAGCGCCAAAGTTCAAGAGCGCCTGTGAACAGAAAAACGTCGACGTTGTTGTTAGCAGTCTAGCTACCATCAGAACCTCGATTCTTAGCTTAGGAACAAACGTCAATGCCTTTGCTAAAGCTGATGCCAATGTAAGTTCTCGTCTGCGTAATCTATTTTTCATCGTTTTCTAAATCTTCTGATGTCCATCAATTCGCAGGTAATCAGTACCAATGTCCTTAGTCTGTTTGTCAAACTGCAAGTATTGATGCGTCTTATCTCTGATAATAACCTGAGCGCTTCATGTCAAAGTGAGTGACCAATAATCGTTTCGTCCATAGTCTCAAGTCGCTTAAATTGCTGTTTACTTGTGATTCAGGCGCTATTGTCTCTCTGCAAACGCCTTTAAAAACGATCGTTGCGTCCGTCGGAGCCGACGTCTCTGCGAAAATTTCATCGACTGTAGACGTCAGCCTCTTCACCAAAGTCGGACTTGATGTTGGCATCAGTGCCAATGTCGC